GCCTGTAGTAGCGACCCGTGACCATGGATATAAACAGGTTTTTATAAGGTAAAAATAATAAAACAAGGTCTTTGTCTGCAATGATTAGACATGTTTTTTATTATTGTCATTAGTGATTATCTTAATTTCGGCTAAAAGAATTGACAAAATCCTACACACTGTGCCTTTAGCTTATAGTTTGACAATTGGTCAGTGCTTTTCCCTCACAATATCAATACTGAAATGAAAACATCTCAGAGAAAGACTGCAACAAATTCACCACAAACTTAAAGCAATCAGGGTTTAAAGTTTCATCTGTGTTTTAATGTGCAACATGAGAAAATAAGTTAAACAGAGTAACAGTTGAAGTCAACTTCTTTCAGGCTAATGACAGTGTTTGGGTGTGCCTGTCACCTCAGGCTGTTCTTGCTCTCTCGCAACCTTAAAAATAGCCCCAACAAATCCACAACAAGCAGGAGATCTGCTACAAATTCTTTTCTGACTGAAGTCTGAATCAGAATGTTGCAMAAACCATAAACAAAATTATTACTGACGTGTATTCAAGAGACATTTGAGGAAATGAGAACAATTGCAGTGTACACACTCTAAAACTTCCCCCTGCTTACTGAGGAAAAGAGGTCATGGGTCATCTCGACTACAAATAGGTCTGGATGTGGAATGCTAGCGATAAAGTACCCACATACATGCGGGTTCACAATAGCACGAATGTTGATTTAAGAGACACTGAACTGTTTCATTTAGTTTTGAGAAAATAAACTAAAATATTGTGAACAAGAAACATAGAATCCAGGCAGTTCTAACCTGGATTTTTCTGTGTTCAGTGTAAAGAAACATCACTGTCTGCGAAAAGAACATGTCAACAAACAAAAACGCCTGTTTAATCTGTTCAGCAAAAGTAAAGTTCAGACTGGGTTGTCAGGAAGGTGCCTTCAGGCTCGTGCTACAAAAACATCCAAATGAGAGTTTTAAATATTTGACTAAAAAAAGACTTTTAGTATTGTTTCTCAGCCTTACAAGATGTACATTTTGTTTGTGCCGCACAAAGCGTGACATTTAATGGATTTAAAAAGAAATTCTTACGCAGTGAGATTTTTTTTTGTCTTCAGCTGAAATTAGTTTTCTATATTTGACAATATTTTAAAACCTGAAGACTAAATGTGCAACAAATGGTGTTCGATGTATGCTTAGGACACATTCAAAAAAGACAAAGTGCTTTGTGTCAAACCACAGTTTTAAAAACAAAGCAGGTCCTGTCCAACAATGTCTGCTTTTATCTAAAATAAGGCAGAAATGATGTCATCACTGTAACCAAATGGGTAGTCAATATTCCGCTCTGTTCCCACAGACATGAGGTGGTTTCCTTCCTCTTTCCGTTCGTAGACTTTGCACAAATAAAGATGAACTAATGCTGCTGCTACATGCAAATCTGAACTCTAAATGATAAGTGGCTCCATTTTATCTTAGCTGACGATCTTGCTATAAAATAATACTCAGAAGGAAGATAGAGGGAAAAAACAATGACATATATTCAAAGCTTTTTCATTCAGTCGCATGTGGTRTGTTCAGGTAAACGCGGATTTCTCCATACTTTTCAGAAAAAGAAACCATGTTCTATGTGACAAGAGTAAATATGACCTGTTATGATTACACACCACTACAGAGCACAAGTGGCTCTTGAAGCACAGCATTATTAAAATAAATCAGTGATTATCCACCTCTGTAGGACTAGCTTTCAATTTTATTTTAGGGTATTTGTCCTGAAAATAAATAGGAGGCGGGGGGGGGGGGGGGAGACCCGTGCGCTAGCAATTTAGCAACAAGGTTTAATGTCAGTAAGCTTAGGTGATATGTCAGTCTCAAAAGTCACTGTTCTGAAGGAAGGTGGGAGTGGGATAGGCTAACACCGACTAGCTACTTAAAGTCTGACAGGTGAGACAGTCATGCCGAGTAATAAAGGCGGTGAGGCGTTTCCTTCGTGGATGTCATGTCTAGAAACAAAAACATGTCTTCTATTACAGCCAGACACTGGTCCGAGGTTCAATGTTTAGTCCTGCTGCCTCAGTGTACACATCCCTCAACAACAACCCCGTTTTCACATTTTCTCCTCCAGTTAGCTCGTAGCTGAAACAGGCTAACAGGCTAAAAACAAGTCAGCTCAGCCTCATATGTCCGTGCTCTCTTACCGAACAGCGCTGACTCGAAACCAGAACCCATCCGAGCCGTGGTTCAAGACATATCCATGACTGACGTAAGGCGAGGGATGTCGGAGACTACAGTCTTCTCAGGCTTTGAGACTGAAGTTTATTTCGCTGAGTAAAATGGCTGCGACTGGTCCAGCTTTCGGGATGCAGTGACGTCATGACGTCGCCGGGACAGAAAGCGCTGTGTGGGGCGTGGCGGAGGGCAGATTTAAACTTTTTTCTTTCTTTTATATACTGTATTATTTGCACGCCGTTGTAACATATAATCAAATCCCTTGAATTTTGACACTCTTACTTGTCAAAATCAAAATTTAATTAATCTAAAATGACATTATAATTCCTATATTATAAATCTAAAGCATCTGTTATTATTATACATCCCTAAAACCCAATATCTAAAATAAAACGAGAAAATATTTCCTGATTCACAGTATTTCATGTCTTACTTGGGTCTTACTGGCTGGACTGATATATGTACTGGACTGTATTGAATTATGAGTTATCTGCCCATTATATGATAATTAAACCTGCCATACCCAGCTCACAGGACAGCGTGTAAAGTGGTGAGAGATCAAACTTGGTGATCCATGATACTCTGTAATCTAATGATTCAAGAATAAATGTAGCAAAATTATATTAGCAGTTTTTAATAATTACTAAAAACAGTTTTTAAAACCATACATTTTTTTCATACTTGTCAAGATACTATTTGTAAAGAAAGCAAAAACATATGAAGCTACAGAAATTCTACAAAAGGTATAAAAAAGTCTCCACCTCCTGATCATTTCAGGCCAAACGGGGATTAGATAATTAAACATCGAATTACAGTAAACGAAAAGCGTTGATAATTTTTTCTGTTTAGATGTTCAAAAAAAGTTCTAAAACATTTATTCTGGAATACCTGGCAACTGTTAGATTAAAATTATTTTATTAGCAAAACCCCAAAATTGAAAATTATGCACATWTTATTTGGAAAGAACTGTACAAAATAGAATAGCAATGTCAGCATATTTTAGTTAWTTTTTTACAAATACATAATGCACAACTCATTTGATATCAAAGTTTTACTCTACAAATACTAAAGTAAAATATTTAACATTAACCTCATTTTAACAATTTTGAATGCACACTGGATGTTAAACAATAAATATATGTCATGATTGTTTGCTTTTCTGTGCAGGAGCAGGAACATCAGCAACATTATGCAGAAACTCATAAAGCAACCTAGCATTATTAGCATTCCCAAGTATTTCAGCTAGTTTGTTCTGGCTGAGTTTGGCTACATCTGCCAGGCTGTCAGCATGTTTTATCAGAGCTCTGCAGTTTTTCGTACTGACCCCCGGCATTTTTAACAGGAAGTCATACGGCCCAGGGTTGTAGAGGTCAGCTGACTCAGCCACCGTGTCTGACTCAGCTGTGACAGCCTGGGCTGCAGAAGCATCAGGCTCAGGGCGGCCCTGCTTCAGTTCCAAGAAGAGTTCAGCTGTGGCGTGAGGGGAGGGGCACCACAGGATCCGGAGCCGAGGAAAGTGCAGCGTGAGCAACGTGAGCTTGGAAGAAATGTCATTCGATGAAATCTCGTTGCGGAAATCTCCGCGAGCCGTCAAGGAAAAGGGTTTCGACGAGTCGAACTCGATGAGCAGCACTGGTTTTCTGTAGTAGCGGGTCATGGAGAGGCACTGGGTGTAGAGGCGACCGCTCTGCAGCGAGCCAATCAGGTCACTGACGCTCTTACGCTCCACGCAGGTGTCTGGGGTCAGGATGTAGTCGCCCACTTCCAGGGTGACGGGCTCGATGTCCAGCCCGCGGCGGTGAAGCAGCGAGGGTAGCTCACTGCGGAACTCACGCATGTCCACGATGACTCGGGACGGCTCTGTGGACTGCTCCTGGCCTCCTGGTCCCACATGGAAACAAAACCTCAGCAGGACATTTTGGTGAATGTCAGAAAATAAAAATAAACCTTYAGAAWGAAATTCACGTGCCTGCTTTGCGGGTGTTGGTTGTGGCGTTGGCAGGCTCTAAACTCCTGGCCAGGTCTAGGTTGGTGTCTCCTCGCCCCTCCCTCTCCTCTGGGATGACCATTGTRGCTTTTTCTCTACAGAAACACACAGCAGCACCAGTAAGAGGCCGACACACTAAACTGGCCTTGTCTGAAGGAAAGCACATTGCTTACCACTGTTCAAGACAGAGATTTGATCTTAGATCATTAGATGCTGAGATATGAGAGTTCTATTTGTTTAGGTTCAATCACGATCCTGATTAATCTGTTAGTAAATGGAGTTTGACAGTAAAAAGGACACTTCTCTGACCTGATGAGATGTTCGAAGGCCTTCTTTTCCTTTGACAGCGTCGTCAGATACTTCTGTTCTTCTGTCGAGCCTCCGTAGATCAGGAAGTAMACTCGAAGCTGCTTCCCGGGCCGATTAGCTTTATAGATCTCCAGCTGGCGAACAAAGCTCAGCTCTGCGTCGTACAGTACCACGAAGCTGGGCTCCACCTCGTGCAGCACCCGGGTCAAACTATGTGGGTCGGTGCAGCCTTTCAGGGGGTGGATGACCGTCAGTGGCTCCTTCAGGACACCGTAATAAGCATCTGATGACAGATCGAGCTTCAGCTGCTCTTCCTCGCCTTCGTCCTCCTCGTCTCCACTGCTGCCCATCACCGCCTCCTCGGTGGACTCCTCTTGCCCCATCATCTGGGTCAGGGTCAGAGAGGGTCTGCTTTTGCTTTTTGTGGTCTTTGTGAGGTTTTTCTTTGCAGGCTCCTTTCCTTTGCTTCCCTTTTKGACCCGTTTTTTTGCCTTTTTGTCCGAGTCCAGTTCAAAGGCAGCAGCAGCTGAGGAGTCTCGTTTAGCGATGGTGCGGGTGTACAGTCGATTCAGCAGCCAGTCAGAGCCGTGTCTGATGCACTGCTGCAGCTGGGCACAAGTCCGGTCATCACTTGCACAAATCAGCACACGACCTGTGGGCGATAAGCTGCAGAGTGAGACACACAGGCCTGGTTATACTCAGAGTGTGACAGTATTAGTATTAGTAACTCATACAGAGGTACACAATGAGCCAAAAATATTTACAAAAACATTCCTCTTTAGTGGCACAATGTCTTTGTGGTGACCAGAATTGTAAAGTAAATAAGTACAAATACTTTGTTACTGTACTTAAGTAGGATTTTTCGGTATCTGTACTTTACTTGAGTAATTCTTTCTCAGCCTACTTTTTACTTCTACTTCTTACATTTTCACACAAGTATCTGTACTTTCTACTCCTTATATTTTTAAAAAGGCAAGAAGTAGAAAGTCGTTACTTTTTTCACTTTTGCTTGTTTTCATTCCAGCTTGTTGTAAAAAAATAAATACTATCCATATAAATTGTGCCTCCTAGATAGAGTGAATTTAATTGTGGTTGAAAGAGAAGTAATTATATATATAATATAAAATTCTGATATTGTTTGTACACAAACAAATCATGTCACACTCCAGTAGGACATCATCATTAAATAAAAGGACTGTACTTAAGAAGTATTTGCATTTCATGAATTATATTATTGCATTTGGCTGCAGCCCTCAGATAGATTTTCATTTTGGACACCCTTGATATATGTATATAAACTGAAACAGACCAGTGCATCCTAAATTTCACATAAATTAATTATCTGAATACAATACAGTCATTTCTGCAGTTTTTGGGGAGGTCACCTAATAAATGTCCTTACAGAAAATCTAACTGCTCATTTTAAATCAATACTTTTACTTTTAATATTTAAGTACAAAAATATCAGATACTTTAATACTTTTACTCAAGTAATATACCTAAAGGAGACTTTAATTTTTCCCAAAGTAATTTTTTGGTAAGATACTTGTACTTTACTCAAGTATCACTTAGTGGTACTTTGAACAACACTGGTGGTGACCTCTTCTGTTCAAGAAGAGAACTGCAAATGTTCACTATTAAACCAAGTATTACAAAGATCTGTTACCTTTGACTTAGTTTACTTTGCTGCATTTAATCATGAATACAACATACAGAACCCTATAAAAGTAGTGATAATTACACATTATCAAAAACAAAAAGAACACATTATGCCTCCTATTAGACACAAATAATATTTTGACAGCTCTGACTTGCCAAATTTTTTAAACCAATTTTATTTTCACTTTCATCATTTTGTATTTAAGTGCTTGTAGTTTTAACTGTCTTGAGTGTTTATAGAAATGGTTTTCACCAGTTTCTGTAGATACCAAACATGTCTATGTTTAACGAAAAGAACTTTGAGTAAGTAGAAAACCGGAGCTTTGGGTTTAAGAGATGAATGAACAAATAGGCGGGCCGAACTTTGGTCACTCCGGCCCGCGGGCCGCCAGTTGAATAGCCCTGCATTAAGCTGTTTACAGTATCACACTAAAGTGAGTACACCCCTCATATTGTTTTTTATAATACAAAAAAACTTTGAAAATGCAGACATGGATACAGGAGTTCAATCAATTTGAATCCATTTGTGTGATTTAAACGCAGCCATGAGGCCCTGATGAATGAAGTGCTCATCAAACCTCTGTCATTTAAAAACACTTTATGACTAAAGACAAACCAAAGTGTTCACAGCAAGTAATACCTGCTTTAGCTTCAGTAACTGACCTGACTTCATCTGCAGCTGTGTACAGTACATGACTGTACTGTACATGTTCAGAGCTTCAGGGCAAAAGCTATCTGTGCTGAGAACAACTTTAAGGGAATGATAAAGGTAAATTTGTTGGAAATRTGTAAATGAATAATGTATTAAGTGTTGCTCAAGGAGTTAAACTTTTATTATTTTTCTTTTTTTTTTTTGT